CCAAAACTCAGTACTCCTTTGTTTCCTTGATGCCCCGTCTCACTCCCTCCACCCCCCCTCCCCCTCCCCTCATATTTTACACCTCTCCTTTCTCGTCTCCTCCTCAACTTCGAGCCAGGAAGCATCAAACTATATTTTGGATCAACTGTTTCATCACTCCGTACAACATCACTGCTACGCCCAATTTAGCTGACACACAAAATCACACACACACACACACACACACACACACACACACACACACACACACACACACACACACACACACACACACACACACACACACACACACACACACACACACACACACACACACACACACACACACACACACACACAGATACGCACTTGTGCTGCCTATCCCTTATGTTACCTCTGGGATGTAGCTGACAAATGACAGCGATGCTCGTCTGCCAACCCCGACTCTTTGCTCGGCAGGATGTGGTGTGTTTGCTTGTGTGCGTGTGTGTGCGTGTGTGTGTGTGTGTGTGTGTGTATTGTGTTCGAAAAAAAATCATTGAGGGACACGGGGAGATGGAGGGGAGAATTGGCAGGATTTTTTGCTTCCTGATTGGTTGAAGTGAATATCCTGCAGAGTTATGGATTTTGTAAGAAAAGAGAGTTTGTTTCGACCGTTTTGTTCAGCAGACTATGAAAAACCACATTTTTTCCTTCTGTCCAAAGTACAAACTGAATATTTTTGCTGGTAATATCGGTTATTTGGCCATGTATGGATTTTTCACAGTGGGGACAGGAGCAGAGGAAAACAGCAGAACAAAAAAACAGCAGAAGAAGAGGGGTTGGTTGAGCAACTGGTAAATGGCAATTTTCTCCATCAATCTCAATGACCTCTTCATCATGAAAATCCAGTACACATTCAAAAATCCTGGCTGTTTACTGGATGTGGCACCAATCCCACTTAGGATCTTGTGTTAATCTTGAAAAAGACTCCACTCACCCCCATATCACCCATTCACACCCATTCAGAGACTGATGGCAGAGGCTCTCATGCAAGTTGCCAACCTCATCAAGATACTAAAAATGATATGTTTCTTCATGCTGTATTAAGCTACACGCCTTATCCTTTAAAGCAAAACGAATGAGTTATCAAAAAAATTCACCCCCCTGTACAATGTGTGCCGATCAAGACATGAGCTAATACGACCAACTTTGTTTTTTGACATGTTCATTTCTGCTGTATAAAGCCCGTTGCTGCGTTTTCCCATACCATCCAGTGTATCTTTCTGTAGGAGTATAATTCAAGCCTTGCTTAACATTCTTTATGCACAGAAACTGTCTTCTACACTTCACAAAATGAACAGTTGCTGCTTATGGCCACCATGACCAACTTACATTATCTGTCATTTTGGGGGTCTTAATCCAAATTTGACCCAAAATGTTTTTCTTAAGTGGCCCTTCTAGCGGGGTCAAATCAGCCTCTGTTAAAAACAGTGACATGTAAGACTCCTCTATTAAGTTAGGGTGTACTAGCCAATAGAGACAGAGAAGGGAGGGTCATCCCTTCACCATCCGAGCAACAAAAATTGAAGCATACTGAATATTGTCAATCAATCAATGGTGTTAATCACAGGGGATTAAGAAGTGGGTATACCCTATGGAGACTGAAACAATACCCTTCACTCCACCACTGGTCTTAATGGACAGATACTGTGTGAATGATGCCAGGTGGATGCTGATCTGGCTTTTGTTGGAAGTGAATTAAATAATCTACTAGTTTTCTTCCAGCTAACAGATTCAGTTGTTCGGTAGGCATAAGCAATTTGCGATGAAGCTGAAAATATGGACGTTCTCCAGTAATGTTGTGTCTTCATAATGAAAACACTAACAACGATATAGCGGCAATGTTCGTCATAAGCCAGTTGTTTTGCGGTGATATCAAACGTTATTACCCACCTGTCAGGATAAAGGGGGCTGTGAATTACCAAGTTTCACTGATTTTTCTGATGGTATTCTATCACTATCCATTTTGAGCTTCCTTTACACGTCTGTCAAATCTCCATTTTTCTTTCTCGTTGCTGATCCTGTCCTACAAATGCATGAAGAAAAAATATCCTCATGCTGTGAGATGGTCTAAAAGTACTCCTGGCAGTGAAACTTTGACATCTCTCTTTGCATTGTTGATTACTGTTTTGGTCATATAAAGGCAACAGTATTCAATTGCAAGTCTTTAGTAACTAGTTGGGCTGCATGGTTTAGCAGTGGTTAGTGCTGTTGCCTCATAGTGAGGAGGTTCCTGGTTTGAATCCCTGTCGGACAGGAGCCTCTCTGTGTGGAGTTTGTATGTTGTTTCCGTGCATGTGTGGGTTCTCTCTGTCTGGGTAATCACAGTCCAAAGACATGCTCTTTAGGTTAATTGGTGACTCTAAATGGCCTGTAGGTGTGAATGTGAGTGTTGCTGGTTGTCTGTTGGCCCTGTGATTGGCCCAGTCCAGGGTGTACCCCACCTCTCACTCAGTGACAGATGGATGGATAACTAGTTAAGAACTGAGTATAGTAGGTTCAAACAAAATAATTTAGAATATGATCCTTTCATAATACTGAGAAAGCCACAGTTGGAAAATATGACTCCTCTTTTGTATCGAAAAAGAAAGATATAACATTTTGTCTTCATTGACATTTGATAGTCTAATTTCTTAATTTTGCTCGTTTCATTTGCCATAAAATATAAAACCCTGGTGGATGCTTCTCAGCAGCTGACTGTCAAGTCATTGAATTCTGGGAAACCCCTTATTATTGTTGATATCATTTTTTACTCTGAAGTATATTTATCAGCTGTGGCGAGCTTGTCACTTATCACCTGTTAATATCTCTTTATTCAAACGTCTGGAGAGCCTCTTCTATCATCACAAGAGATTCTTTTTCTGCTGAACTGAGATTCACCTCGCTTGCAAAAATGAAATTCTGGTCGGTGGAAGTACGAAGTCCAAACTCCCTAAAGGGTCTGCTTAATTTCGGCGAGGTAGTGCCGGGGTCACAAGCGGTGGTGGAGTCTCTGCAGAAACGGGAGGAGGAGGGGCCGAGGGCGAGAAGTGAGGTGAGGTGACGGTGGGGAAAGAAGAGAAGTAGAGGAAGGATGACAAATTGAGAGGGAGAGGTGAGGGACTAAATCAATGCGTCTAGAAACCTGAATAAATGTGCATCTTCATAGAAAATGACAAGCATCAAGCGGTGTGGACTTGTAAATGCCATCTTAATAAAGTCTGTAGCTATGGAGGAATGGGGTGAAAGAGGAGAGAAGTCAAGGCAACTGCAGCAGAGATCAGGAAGAAACAGATGCTTTAATTAGCAGGCAGAGAAATGCCCATAGCTGTGTGTGTGTGTGTGTGTGTGTGTGTGTGTGTGTGTGTGTGTGTGTGTGTGTGTGTGTGTGTGTGAGAGAGAGAGAGAGAGAGAGAGAGAGAGAGAGAGAGAGCGAGAGACCATGTGTGTGTGTGTGTGTGTGTGTTTGATGGCTTTAATTAGTTGAAGAGTAAGATGAAACACGGAGGCAAATCAACAAAGTGGCATCTCTATAAAGGTTAACAACCAGCCACCTTCATCTCTCCCTCTCTCCTCCGTTCCCAGTCTTTCCTCTCTCATCCTTTCTTCCTGAGTGTTCACAGTGGAGAGAGAGTGGAGAAGAGAAAAATAGCTGGACGATTCAGGTAGTAGAGACACACAAGACATAACTCCCTTTAAACAAACCAGAAGCTTAAAGAGCAATTAGCCTTATTAGCTCCAAACACACAGGCGCACACACAGGCGCACACACACACACACACACAACACACACATAAACACAAGTAAGGAATTTGAAAGTCTATGCCTTTAAAATAAGGGCATGTTATTCCAAGGAATTCAAATTGCTTTCTGGCCTCCAGAAACAAGAGAGCGCTTTAGTTTCAAGCCTGTCTCACTGTACAGATTACAGGTAGAAGAACAGAGATTACTGTCAAACTGAAATTGAGTGTCTAGTTTCTGATGTCTTCCCTGCGGCCTGAATCACCAAACAGTTTTTTTCCCCTTTCTACTTCACTGCAAGCCAAGGGTTGATTTAAGATTATTAAGGTAGGAAAAAAAGAGACTGATGGGACAATTATCTGACAGGATGATGTGTGAAACATTTCCGTCTGCTGAGCCTGTTGCCCAGAGACAAGAGACAGGGCGACAGGAAGTCAAAGATTTGTGGATCCAGGTAGCTGTGAGTCATTAAACTTTGTTACATCAATCCCCACTGCCCTTTCTGATTGGTTGTTGTTCTGTGTTTTTCAACTTTCCAGATAATTTAGCTTCCTTTTCCTGTGGGCAAAAAGAAAACCAATTTGCCGTGATGTCCAATTTTACTCCAACTGTTATTTTATGCCATGTCCCTCTGAACTTGTGCAGCTCAGTGTGAAAAAAAAAAATTCATTTCAGTGAAAAATTATGGTGAAATTTAGTCTTGGGTGATTCAGGATTGATATCTGATTCAGTTATGATAACAGGAACTATCTTACTAAATATGGCTCATCGTGGACGGGACAGAATTTAAGAAGTGGAAGTAGCCTCTTTGTAAAGCCAATATGGAGGCTCCTTAAAGGTGACCTATAATGCTGACCCCCCCCAATGCTGAGTTCGCCAAACTAAACGTGGGCAAAGTTTCAGATCATGAAGTAAACGCATGTTGGAGTAATCGCAGGATAAGTCTGCAGAGGGCGATAAATCACACGATAGTTTCCCAATATGAAACCAAGAATTTCACAAGACGGCTTCAAGCCTCTACGTAAGCTGTTGAAAACTCTCTTTTCTCCCAGAAGGACAAAGCTGCACTCCCCCGGCAAGCGCTGCAGCGTTCTGCCTCAGGAAGCGTTCCAGAGAGCTGACCACCAATCAGAGAAAGTGGGCACGTGGTGGGGGGTGGGGGGCTTAAAGAGACAGCAGCTGAAACAAATCAGTCAGGCAGAGGCTAAAATGAGTAAACCAGTGTTTGGTAGGACGTCTTTTGAGCTATCAAACGAAGTAGTAAGACTGCCAGGCGGTCTGCCAGGCCAGGCTAAGCTTGACCTGGTCTGGTTTCCGATCTTGGAATTCGTCAGTAAACAACGCTACACTGGAGCATCTACTTATTGAAAAAAGCTGACAAGTGATTAACTTTGATTTCAATGATTTTAAGAGTCAAAAGAGATAACTGGTGATATTACTTTGTGTGACTTGGTCTGAATTTAATAATTTCCTCTGTTATGACGGCCGTTGCTGTCCTTCATTTTTGATCTCTGACCTGGCGCTTTGCATTGTGGGAAGAAGTACACAAGGGGAACTGTTCTGAGTATCTGTCTGATACCCTTTTTTGGCTTATATTTTGTTTATATCTAATGTTACTCTTTTGAACATCGAGAGCACAGTTACTGAAGACAATTACTTGAGTGTGTCTAAGCATACATGGTCATTAAAGCTGATTGTGATTCAAAGGGTAACGAGGCACAGGTGAGCATAATCAGGGCGGGTAAACACAAGTAACAGGATCTAGAAGACGAAGACAAAGGTAAGTACAAAAATAAAACACGAAGTGACAATACTAAAACAAAAACATGACCTTACTTCACTTGACAGATCGTGTGACCTTGTTGTCTTTAGGAGCTCTTATTTGTCATCAGGCTCAACACGAGGCATCATGGGACCAAAACGTGGACAGCTAACAATTTCCAACACAAAAAATAGACATGACATCAGGTGTTGTCTTTATTGTCCTGGTTTAACTGCATAGTCTCTGAAAAGTCGCTATAGTTGTAAATAAAAGTGTATTAAGCTTCTGAAAGAAAGACATTCTCATTTTGTTGTGGCTGTGACATGATTTAGAAATGTTTTAGCTGACATTAATAATATATTAAACACAGACTTAGGGCTTCGATATGGACAAGTATATCCCTTACCAATCCCATTGCACATGTTGAATATATACTGTCCCTAGATTATTAAACAAAGTGTTAACTTAAGACTTAAAAATAGACAAATAAACAGGGGAGGGGAGTCATACTTAAAGATAGTGACATCATTTTCTTGGGTATTCTGACATTTAAATGCTTAATGTAAGTAGACAGTAGATGACAGCTACAAATATACCTATGTCATTATCCATACAGGATGTGTTTGATGTACAGCTTATTTATACTGTGCAGGTTTGGAGCAGCTGTCTGACTTCACTTTACTGAGATCAATTCAGAGACCTTTAACAAACTCAATGTAGGAAATACTGAATACATTAATTGTGTCTTGGTCCCGCTGCTGTTGTTTTTCAACTCTTTGGTAAATGTTCATGTTTTTTTTCTTTGGCTGTTAACTGCAGGAGATTTCATTTTCTTGAAAAAACGAAGCCAATGTGGAAGTGCAAAATCCTACAGTTCTTTGAGGGTCGGCATGAAGCTGGCTCCCATTCAAAAAAGCCAGCTTTTACAAACAGCGAAACACATGTTTACAGCCTGGTACAAAACATGTAAAAGGGCTGATTAGCTCATGTCTCGATGCGATGTGCCTATGGTATTTCCAGTGGTTAATGGACTTGAGCTTGTATAAGACTTTTCTAGCCTTCTGACTGCTCAAATAGCTTTTTACAACTTTTACAACTTTTCACAACCGACTTATGTCGCATTCACACACTGACGCCAGAGGCTATTGTGTAATGTGTCCATCCCATTTATACTCATTCACACGCAGCTGTAGTGTCTTTCCCAAGAGTTCTTCAACATGTGACTAAATGACTAGGTGTCGTAAAGAGGAGTCTTGATAACATCAAACTGTACATATTATATGTGTTCGAGAGGCATTACAGGATAGTGAACAGGGCAGGAGAAGAAATGACCCAGGGCAATACTCAAATCTGATCCTCAGGCTACAGTCTCAAGGACTCTAGTCAAGGCTGGAGAACCGTTATCGTGTATGTGTGTGCGTGCAGCTTCAGCATCTGCTCCTATTTGTATTCTTCTATTTTTCTGTTTTATTGTTATTGACATTTTCCAGCCGACTGAAAATCAATTCTGAAACACTTTTTACACGATGGCAGATGTAATAGAAAACAAACTTGAGATGTTCGCCCTGTAATTTATTTGAGAGCGATTGTCTTTGCCAGCTACATGTTTGTAACAATCACTATCATTTCATCTGCAGACAGTGTTAAGGTCTGAAGCTTGTGTGTGTACGTGTGGCTCATTAGGCCTGCGAGGGTAAGTGTGTGGATTTTACTGCTGTTTTATAGTCCATTACAAGACCATTACTTCAGCCTTATGGCCCCATTCTCCTCTGTTTATTCTGTATCTCTTTACGGTGTTAAGTAGCTAAATAATGATAGCAGAAGGGGCATCAGTATCAGCAGAGCCGCAGCACACTCAAAGACACAAGGCCGGCAGCCAACACTCGAGCTGCGTTCCCACCCAACTGTCAAGCTGTCCAACCTCAAACTTTTGAAACGTCTGAATTAGGTTTGTTTCCATCCATTTGCTAGATGCAGATAAATAAGCTGTCTGAAATACGGCACGGCTGACAGAAAATAGAAAAATCTTTTAAGAATTTGCTTAGTATTGGTCAAGTTGTTTTCATTCCCTGTGACAGCTTGTGTTGCTCATTTTTCATGCTGTCAAAAGACGAGAAAAAACACTTAGTCGGACATGCATCCAGTATGACAACTTAACAGACAGCGAGCACAAGGACCACTTTTCACCTATAGAGTCTGGTATATGGAAGAAAAGAAAGGACATGATAGAGTAATAATGATCTCAACAGCAGAATGCAGTCAGGTTATTTTAGTTTATTTTACATTTAAGTGAAAGGAATGCTATAAAGTTTACAAAGTTATTTTTTATACAACATTCAACAAAACAGGCATTAAGTGGCAGTTAAAATTACTTTTAAAACCCAAGATAATTTATTTGTTTTACTAGGACCAGGCATCATTAAAGGGAATATCTTAGGTCACTGAAAATCTATTAACAGATAAAAGATAGTTCACTTCAAAGGTAGGGTTGTTTTTTTTCTTTAGACACACTTTTAGTGTGGAGTTTAGTTGAAAATGTCTGCCACAAGGTTCCAATTTCATGAACTAAAAATTGTCTCCCTGTCTCTCCGCTTGTACTCTACCACTTGCGTCAATAGTCCACACTCAAAGCGTGTCACCGATGATGGAGTTTATACTGTGAGTTTGTCGTTGGCCGATGTTAGTAGTGAAATAGTCAGGTTTTTTTAATGTGTATTAGAATAAAGTTTAGTGTTTACTTACCGCTGAATGAGACATGAGACGACGTAGTTTCTACACAATGTAAGCGATGTGCATGTAAGTGAGGGGCGTGGCTTTTGAGCGAGCACAGAGGGAATGCTACTTTCAAAATCATGATCGTTTTAGAAAATTATCAACTCTGCCTTTAAAGTCCTGAAACTTCTGCAGAAAGTCATGCACATCCAAGGAAACATGTTTGTCTGAACAACACTGAGGTAAAAGGTCACCACGTGGCCTTGTAATGTCACTGGCTGTTTTAGAAACCACCTACATACTACCATCAAACGTAGTATGCAGTATATAAATTAGCAGAATTCACTCACACATTCATACAGAGGCTGCTCCGTTAACTTAAACACACACACACACACACACCCACACACACACACACCCACACACACACACACACACACACACAGTGATGACTTTGGGAGCAACTTGGGTTTCAGTGTCTTGCCCCAAGGACACTTTGACATGTGCACTCCAGGAGCTGGGGAATTGAAACACAAAGCTTTTAACCTTTCAACCCACTCTATCACTGAACCACATCCAGTAAAAACCTAGTAAAAAAGTATGTTGATGGGTTGTGTCGTTTCTGATGTCGAGGAGACAGTCTGAAGTTGCACATTTTAAATGATCCAAGAATGAGGAAGGAATCCACCAAGAATGTTTTGCAGCTGCTGATAGCATGATGAATTGCAAATCATTGCCATCCTATCTGCCTGTCTCAAGGTCTGATTCAGTGAGGATATTGTGTTAATGATATTCAAACGCAAACACACCCATAAAGTTATGCAAAGAGAGCAATTTATCATTGATGTGCATCTGCAAGCATTATCCTTGCAACAAAGTATATAAGGTGGCTTTGTGCCAGGATCACAGTTGGCAGTTCAATGTCAAAGAGAGTGAAAGCTACATTTTCTGAATATTTACTCCAGGTCCTTACCTACTTGGGGCTGAGATATTCCTCTAATTTTTAAGATCAGAAAATTTAGATATTCACCTGATCATGGTCACCCAACGTCTGGAGGGCACCTAACTATTACATATCCAGCCACTCATCTCGGTTCCAGGTCAAGACGTCTTTCTTCATCACTGCCTGTGACTGTGTATTATAAGAAAATTACCAAATCCTCTTTGTCCAACAGTAAACTACAACCGGCCATCACAGGAAAAAAAATATGCTTCCTATAGTTCATGGGTTGAACAGCAGTAGGGGTATGGCATCAGGAACGTAAAATAGCCTGAAGCTTCTGTCAGCTTGTCAATTTTCAGGCAGGCTCAGAGAGAAAACCCTGAGGCCAGAGATCCAAAACGCAGCTTTGCTGAAGCAAAATGAGGGGGAAATGGGTTAAATGACTGCTGCGCTGTGGGCCAAATGCCTTGGTTGTGAAGGGTGAGAGTCAGCTTCAGCCACAGGTTTTGTCAGCATTGCTTTTCAGTGTCAATTCAATCCAATGCCCTCTTGAAGGCAAATAACCAGGGGTGTGTCTAGAAGGGTGGCCAGCGGTGGCATTGGCCCACCCCAGTTGCCTCCCCAAAAATCTTAAACTCTGATTGACTATTGTCTGTGTCAGAGGTGAAGCCATTCGTTTTGTTTTTTTTGCAACATGCTGCAAGAAGTTTTGTAAATGTTTGTAATTGGTTTAAATTGTGACTTTAAGTGGTGTCTTAAACAGCTTGCTCAAAGTCATTTTGTCACCTGCATTAGTTCTGTGACTGTAAATCAAATGAATATGTTGTAAAGAATGCATTTGTACTTATAAAATGTCTGCAAAGGTCATCAGCCTTCTTTGTGGTACATCCACTTAAAATCCCACATCACTCCCAGTTGATGCAGATCCTCCACGAGGTGTTGCTAACAACATGGATGTTGACTCACCACATGCCCTTCCATTTCTGAAAATGATTTCTGCACAGTCATTAACACCCACAGCCTTTGGAAAGCCATTTTTTTCTGAAGTGTTCTGTATCTCAGCTCTCTTCAAGGAATACAACATCCAACCTGTCTCTGCTATTTAGTAGTTGTGATAGCCTGGGGGGGAAACAAAAATCTGTTGACCGGGCAACCATTATCTGAAAAGGATTTCTCTCAGAAATCAAAAAGTAGTCGACTTTGTGATCGTCTACTATTTCTACATCTAATAAAATCATCTGCTCCTTTGCACGCCAGGCATGACAACATGTCTGCCTGGCCATGATTGCTGGGAAGTCTGGGTGTGATATATAGTGACATTGTCAACTCATAGAAGACATATTTAAATTCCCTCTAACTGTGTGTTGCTTATCATCTTTAAGGGCTGCTTGTGTCGTTGATGTCTTCTTGCAATGAGGCTCATTTGTTTGTGGAAACGGCCAATTTTCCCACAAATGCATTCACATCATTTAATTAGAATATGTGCAAACAGCACTAGCACACTCACTACAGATGTAATGTGCTTGGCTGCACAGTTTGGGGTGTA